TCCTGCAGCGGTGCTCTGGCCGTGTGGCTTGGTTTCCTGGCTGTAGCAATGAGCCGCTCCCTGCCCTCAAGCCAGAGCTCCTTGGAGGAAGGAGGCGGCTGTGGAGAATTAACCCTCAGGGTGAGAGAAGCAAAGCAGGTGGGCCGGGGAAGGATTTTTGCTGCTTCTGGCCATGCCTGCCTATCCCCGTGATGCCCGGGCTGACCCGATCGAACCTCTGGCTAAAGCCTGTGCCTATAGGTGCCACTCTGTGAAAGAGGAGACACCAAGAGGTTTGCTCATCACAGCCCCCTGCTCCCCTCTGTGCCGAGTCCCTGCCCCTACAAATGGCTGTAATCTGTGGCAATAGGTTGGTCCAGATGTGCTCTGGGCTTGTGAGCCAGTTGGGGACCAATTCCGGCTAGAAACGTCCTTCCCTCGAAGGGTGGTAACTAACCCCCTGTGCGCCTCCGGGTTAAGGGCTAACGGGGCCCGCCAGGCTGTGGAGCTCGCGAGCCGCACTGGAGGAGGCAGGGTGGCTGCTGCTGAATGTGTTGCTTTATGAGAAAGGGAACGGGCCGTGGTGTCCGGGAGCAGCCGGGTTAGCCCCAGGGCCCGGTGCTGAGCCCTTTTGGGAATTGATTGCACCTGCTCTGTGCATTGGTGCAAACAAGGACCCGGGGATCAGAGCAGAATCGGACCCCAGTGCCCCACAAACCGGTATCCTCCATGCCCCTGCTCGCCAGCCCTTTCCTAACCTACCTTCCTCCTGTTGCTCGCTTTCCAGCAGCGCCATTGCCTCTGTTTCCTCGTCGAACGGCACCACCTCATCCACGTCCACCACCGTGGAGCTCTGCCCCCTCCTGTGTGTCTCCGGGGGGCTCGTGCCCTCCGTGGCTTTCCCCCTTTTCAGCCCCTCCCTGTCCCTGCTGGCTCCTCTTCTGCTCCCCCCCTTCTCTCTCCTGCCCTGCGAGTCCGTGGGCTCCCTGTTTCCCTTGTGGGGCTCCCTGGAGGAGCTGCGAGCCTGCTTTTCCATCCTCAGCGAGGGCTGGGAGCGGAGGAGCATGCAGCTGCTGCGGCCGCAGGACAGCCGGCCCTGGGAATTTATCAGGGAGTGGAGGAGGTGACAAGCGGGGGAGGCGCAGGCCCTTGTAAGTGCACTCCGGGCTCATTTGCCTGGCCAAAGAGCCAAGCAAGATGTTTCCCAGATGCTGTCCTATCACCCACCTCCCGGACGGGGGTTTCAGGAAGGCTCCGTCCTTGCCCATCAGATGCCATGACGGTGGAATCCGTGCTAAGGATCCGTGTGCTCTTGTCTGACTTGGGCATAAAATGCATTGACACTCGCACAGAACTCGGCCTGCTGGCTCGTGACTGAGGAGGGGTGAGGAAACCCAAACCTTTGCTGTTGGAAGCAACTAACCATGTCAAGCTCTGAATAGTTCCCACATTTAGAAACTGCTTCCCCTGCACATGGGGGCTGCGGGGGTTGCTCTCCACTCAGGACATAAGAGTGCAATCATTTCAATGGCTATCGGTTATCAGCTGATCGGTTTCCATTGTGGTTACTCTTTGCTGGCGCACACCAACTCCCAGCCCTGCTCCCGGAGAGCCGGTCACCGCAGTGCAGCTGGCTCTTCGAGAGTGGGGCTGGGTGGCGGGGTGTGTAAACAAGTTCGCTGTGGCCACCAGCTCTGGCTGCTGGCTCTGCTCCGGGGGAGCCGGCTGCTGCTCCATGCTGTGCGCTGTGTATCAGAGCCCGCAGCGTGGGGTGACAGCCAGCTCCCCAGACGCGGGGCCAGCACCCGGTGCACTCTGGAGAGCCGGCTTATACTCCCACGACGTCTAGACTGCCCCCTCTTGCGCAAGAGAATATGCAAATGAGGTGAAGCGGTGAATATCGCTGCACCTCATTTGCATACTTAATGAGCCACCATTTGTGCACAAGGGGCTGTTGCGCAGCAGCCGTTCTGCTGCTTTTTTTCAGGAAGAGCAGCTCTCGCGCAAGAGGGGGTTCTGTGCAAAAAGGAGCCGTGCAGACTGAGCCCCTTGCGCAAAATGGCAGCTCATTAAGTATGCAAATGAGGTGCGGCGATATTCTCCGCTTCGCCTCGTTTGCATAGTCTCTTGCGCAAGAGGGGGCAGTCTAGACGTAGCCCCAGTGTACAGCGGCAGCCGGCCCCACTCCCGGGGAGCCAGCTGCACTACAGACCCTGCAGGATAAGCCATACGCTGCAGAGTCGGCGGCTCGTGTCATCGCTACGACTTCTAGTGGTTCCACAGTTACTTTTTTTAGCAGTTTCTTTTTTACATCCCTACTCTCCACTGGCTCTGCTCCCTCGACCCCGGGCGTTGGGTTCCCAACACAGCAGGGCACCTGGGCGTTCAGCTGGTCTCATTTGACTGTAACAACTGTCACTTTTCAAACCAAGCCAGGCAGTTAGCTCCAATCCAGCAGTGTGTTCCCATGAGCCAAACTCGGTAACGTGGGAGGAGGGAAAACACCAACAGTGGGGTGGTGGGTTTTAAAAAAAAATTAAATTTCCCTGAGTGCCTGTCTGCTACTTCAGTGTCTCTCTCCCCATGGTTCTCTGGTATCCTCAGTTTGGGAATAACCATTCCTTCAATGACCTTAAAACATGCATATTGCTTCAAAGAGACTTGAACTCCAGACTTCAATGAGAAGCTTCAGAATTGTCATTCATGCTTAAATTTGACACTTTATGTATGGGTTTAAACAAAGACTCTAATTATCTCACCCATTACAAAGATAGCTTCCCCAATTATCACCCCTAATGTCATTACCTCACAGAAACTTCCCCTATTATCACCCCTACGTCATTACCTAACAGACACTAATCTTCCCCCCTCACCCACACTCTGTTCTAAAATTTGATTTGTCAGTTTCACATGCGTTCATTTTTTTGATTGTATCACTTTGGTATATATGGTTGTGCTGATTTTCTTCCACATATTGATCTGAGGAAGTGGGTCTGGCCCACGAAAGCTCATCATCTAATAAACCATCTTGTTTGTCTTTAAAGTGCTACATACTTCTGTCTTTTGTTTCAGCTAGACCAGACTAACACGGCTGCATCTCTATCATAAATGTAACAGTGAGGGCAATTAACCCTGGGAACGGTTGACCATCTCTGGCCATTTTAAAATCACAACTGAATGTGTCTTGTTCAAATCTTGAAAAAAACAATCTTTCCTGGTCTGTGCTATGCAGGAGGTTGGACTAGATTACAGTGGTTCCGTCTGACCTTGGTATCTGTGAAAGTGGCCGTGGGCCCTCTTTTGCTGGAGGTAGATGGGGAGCATTGGAGGGAATGTGGGTGCCATGTAGCCTGTGGGGAGGGGTGGGCCAGGTGGAGCCGCTGTGCCCTGACTTGAAGCATGGGGAACCTGAGGATCCAAACTGTCTTGGCTGGCTGGGTTTGCAGGTTGCGAGGAAAGAGGCCGGGTTTGTACTAAGTAGAGCACCAGCTGCTCAGATCTGCCCCTGGCTCCTGTTACAAGAGCAGAGGTGCTGGCAGGCAAATGAGTTGGCAACTTAGTGCCTCTCTGTCCCTATCAGCATTGCTGTAGCTGCCCAGAGAAGAAACATTTGTCTTAGAACAAGTGCTGCAGCAATGGCAGCTGTGCCGCTCCCAATTCCACAAGATACAGACTTCGACATTTTGAGCAAGGCTCATGAGAGCCACTCTGAGTCTCCGAGAGATTGGGGGAATAACACGCTTGTAACGGAGCTTGGCTCTAACCCCACTAGCAATCTATGCTGTAAGAAATCCGAGTTCAGCGGCAAGATAATTCTAGTCCTTGAAATGCGGTAGCAGCAACCTCCCTTTTGATGAGCTGTGCTGACATGCTGACCTCCAGAGTTCATCTAGATTGAAGCCCAGCTGTGCAGTTGTCCAGTCGGTATGTGTGGCGTTAGAGGAGGAGAAGAAGGAAAGAAGAAGGGAGTAGAGTTAGGGTGATGACAGCTGTGTTTTCTCTTGGATTCCTGTTTTATTGGAAATCTTTGCAGTCCTCCAAGTCAGGATATTACAGTCATTCCTGAACTCTGAACTTTCTACTCCCTCATCTAATTTGTCGTGTTCTTTACTGGTAGATTATTGGTCCCAGGAAGAAGATGAATGAATAGGGCTACTGTCGAGCAAATGGAGTTGGGTAGGATATTCTATCCAACGGGAACTGCAAATATAACTCAACAGGCATCACAGATGGACTGAGGAAAGAGGCATAGATCGCTGGCCTGAACCCAAGATTTGGAGTCAGGAATTCTAATTCAGAGTGTGACAGGGCCTCCTTTTTGCCCTTGGCAAGTCATTAACTTTTCATCTTCAGCTGTGAATTCCATAAAGTAGGGATTATAAACGGTTCTGCAAAAACTGAAAACTATCAAAATATGTCAAATGTATCTGTTTTAATTTTGTTGAGCTAAATAGTTCCCTTTCTTTTCTCAGTTTGTGTATGTAAAAGGGGAATCATACCTAAGTGCTTTGAAGAGGTAAAGTGCCAACTCATATTCTATGATGTTGGTGCTAAAGGTGCTTTGATGTAAGATGACGGATGAATAAAAAGGTGGAGAAAATTGGCGTGATTGCTTGGAATATAAAAGGCCTACATCAATACTTTCCTACCCAGAAAAATATTTGGTAACACCAGCTGGGGTTGATTAGTTCCTCTTCATTTTTTTCCCAAATGTAATTCATTTATCTGACATTTTTCTATGCTTGCATAACTTTGTGCAAGCCTAGGTTTTTGGTGCCATAGTACAAACACTGTGCCATTACATCAGTGGTCACCATCCCATCGACCGCGATTGACTGGTTGATCGTGGTGTCTCCAAGAGTCAATCTACAGTTCCCATGAACTGTGTGGCTGTGCATGAGGAATTTCAGAAGGATGATTGTCGCGGCCAGCTGACCGGATCATGTGGCCTGGCTGCAGCATTCAGCCCCAGCAAGGACAGCTTGCCTCACCGTGCCATGCTGCAGCTGGAGCAATGGGGAGCCAGCTCCGGGACGCAGTGAGACTGTCCCTGGAGCAGCCTTAATGGGCCTAGAATAACAATCCAATTGCTGCAGGTCCTTGAAGTACCTTGGCAGCAGAAGTACCTCGGCAGCAGAACTCCACCTTGCTTGCATGCGCCACTGCCTGGAGGCACGGGAAGGAAGTGTGCAGCCTCTCTGACCCAGAGCATTAGCTGCACCAGCTGCCCCCTGGGTGTGCAGCAGGGTTGGGGTGCTGCTTGATTAATAGAGGACAAAATGTATAATTATAAATACTTGATTTAATATTCATATAGAATAAATTAAAAGTAGACTGTTTATTCCACAACATTATCTTAGGGGTAGATCTTGGGTTACATGTAAATTCAAAAAGTGATCTTGGGTTGAAAAGGGTTGGTGACCATTGTGCTGTTGTGTTTAAACATCATGGTGCTGTGGAGCAGTGGTTCTTTGTGGGGAATTTTCCTAACCTTCCATGAGGCAGGTCTGTGGAATGTGTAAGGGCTTAAGGTTGATCCTAACTGGAGACTGTGTGTTTGTGACATGGAGCTGAGCTGCAGGGTTATGTTGAAGTGGGGTTGGTACCGTCCCTCCTTCCCCCATCCCTTTGTCACCTTGGTCTCAATTCTAATTCTGTGGCAAGGTTTGGGGTCTGCTTTCAAGGCCCCATTGGTCTCATAGAGTGTGGCTAGACTACATCCCTTTTTTGAGAAAGGGATGTAAATTAGGCATGTCGATATTGCAAATGAAGCCGGGATTTGAATTTCCTGAGCTTCATTTGCAGAATGGCGGCCACCGCTTTTTTTCAAAATGGGGCTTAAAAAAAAAAAAAAAACCCTGGCAGTTTAGATGTGAATCTTTCGAAAATAAACCCCCTTTTCGAAAGATCCTATACTCCTCAAAAAATGACAAAGCCCTGGCTGGGTTGATTGAGTTGGGGTTGGTCCTGCTTTGGGCAGGGGGCTGCACTGATGCCTCCTGAGGTCTCTTCCAGCCCCAGGCTTCTGTGAATGGCAGCGAGGTGCAGTGGCCGGGCCGCTGGGGGAGGGTGAGACGGGCTCAGCCCCTCTAACCCAGCAAAGGGGCCCTGGGTGCACCTGGGGGGGAGCCCCTGGAGGGTGGATGGGCGGGTGCCTGTCACCTGGGCATGGAACTCGGCCCGCGCCACTGCGGAGACCCCGCCCCCTGGGCAGCTGCCGGCCCAGGGCAGGGCCAGTAGGGGGCGCGC